ATAGATCCCTTTAAGGAACCTTACTAAGTCCCCTCATCCTCCAAGTAAGCCCTAAACTCAGCAGCCGCGGGTCGGTAGATGTGGCCAACATTCGAGCATGGGGCCACCTGGGAGTTTCCGAAAATGAGGGGGTACCTTTAAAGGGATCCTTTAAGGGTTCTTTTAAGGGATCTACTTGGGTTCTATAAAGGGTTTAGAGATTAGGGTTTAGAGTTTCCGAAAATTAGGGGTGCGCCTTATTTTGGGGTCCTTATAACAAGGATCCTACTATACGGGTACTATATTAGGGTCCCCTATTTTCGGAAACCCCCAAACCCTGAACCCTGAACCCTTTCTAGATCCCTATAAATCCTTTAAAGGAGCCCTTATGGTACCCTTTAAAGGAACCCTAAGGGTCCCTCATTTTCGGAAACTGCCACCTCCATCACAGCGGCTCGACTTGAAGTCCAGGGTTCAGAAATAGGGTCTACTTGGAGGGTCGGGGGACTTAGTAAGTAGGTAGTAAGTAGACTTATAAGTACCCTAAAAGGGACCCTAATTGGGGTTATGGTACTTATAAGTCCTTAAAATAACCAGTTACTAAGTCCCCCGACCCTCCAAGTAGGGTTTAGGGTTTCTTTAGGGGACTTAGTAAGGGCTCCTTAAAGGGATCTATAGAGTTCCTTAGAAGAGATCTATGGGGTTTGGTTCAGAAATGGGTGGTTGTCAAAATAAGGGTCCCTTTTTGGGTACTATCAATATTTGGTGCCGTTTTAAAATAGGAACCCAAAAAGGAACCCTAATTTTGACACCCACCCAAATACGATTTAGGGTTTAGGGTTTCGAATTTCCAATAACAACTTTGAAGAACAAACGAACTTACACGGTGTAAGTGTGCTACCGGGCGACTTAGTAGGTTTTGGGTTCGAGAGTTTCAGGGTTTGGTGTCTTGTCTTCCCTCTTCCTCTGTCCTAATTTTGTCATTGTTTTGCTAGAGCTTCGTCCATGCAGGTGCTCCTCTACCTCTTCGTGACATTGGTCTACCTCTCCACTGCAGCAGTCCTCTATAATTCTGCCCATGTGCATGTTTGTCGGTATCTACCCTGCTTCGTTGCTGCCAGTCTCTTTCTCGTCTTTTTCCTCTCTCTCCCTCTCTCTCACTGGTTTGCATCTCGGCCAACGGATTGCAACCTCGTCATGCGCAGCCAGCAAATGCATCACACGACTTGACCGGCAATCACTACCACAAGGATGTGGCATCCACGCAATTGAACCCGTTGGAAGCTCCATGGATCCCCTAAACCCTAAACGCATGATACCCCAAAGGCCCCTACATTAAGATCCCTTATAGCACCCCCCCTACTATAGCACCCTTGAAAAGATCCAATTGAAGGCTCCCTCATTATAGCCCTCTTATAGATCCCAAACCCTAAACCCTAAACCCTAAACCCTAAACCCCTAAACCCTAAACCCTAAACCCCTAAACCCTAAACCCTAAACCCTAATCCCCATAGTATCCTTTAAAGGATTCCCTTAAAGGATCACCCTTGAAACGCTCCCGTCCGTGTTTTCACCTCCATGGATCACCCCTTTAAAGGACGTACCCTTATAGAAACCCTTCAAGAAATCCTTGAATCCTAAGATCCCTGTTAAGGAAACCCCTTAAACGATCCCCTGCGTTGGGAGCTGGGAGGTCCTCCATGGATCCTTATAGACCTTATTATAGTACCATTATATCCCTTTATCAAAGGGGAAAAGGAGGGACCCGTAATGGGGACCCCTACCAAAGAATCCCCTTTATAGCACCCCTTAAAAGTGCCTCCATGGATCCGCCGCACATCCAAATGCGGAAAGACATCTCCACATGCTCGGCGCCTGGCTCCGGAGGCTCCCGCGGGGGGGGGGGGGGGTTTGGGGGACTTAAGGCTCCTTTAAGGGGATCTATGAGGGGAGCTAAGGGTTCCTAAAAAGGGCTCTGTTGAGGGATCTTTTAAGGGTTTAGGGTTTAGGGCGGGGGAGGCTTTGGAAGAGTTTTCTTTCTGATTTAGGGTTTAGAGGGAGTTTAGGAGTCTAGACGAGAAGGGTTTAGGGGTTTAGGGTTTGGAAAGGCGGAGACTTAGTGACTTTAGAAGGGTTCCTTAAAGGAGATCTATTGGGCTGCTACAAGAGTTCGATAAGGAGGATCATGGAACTTAGTAAGTAAGCTTCCTTAAAGGGGAGTTTAGGGTTTAAGGGTTTAGGGGTTTACGGGTTTAGGAGGGGTTCTCAGGGCCCTGTGAGATTTGAAGTTTTGTGTGGGCCACGGGAAATGGTCGGGGCTTTTTCAGGGCTGCTAGGGCTCTGTGAGTTTTCAGGGTTAGCAGCACCCCTGGAATCTGGGGTTCGGGGACAGTAGGCAGGGCTACGTCAAGTTGACGTGGTAAGCTTAGGAGTTTGGTTGACGACGTCTTTAATCTTTCTTACCAGAATAATGCGAGATTTCTGCTGCTTTGGGGTCTACCATGTCTAGGCATTCATGCTAGCTTGGGATGAAGTTGCTCGTGTAAAGGTGTTTCTCTTTTCAAGCGTCGCAGGCTTTCGACTCTAAATCGGTCATTCTGGATACACGGCTTGAAGTGTTTCGGGCCGTTGGACTGGGGATGCTGCCGTTTTGCTTCGTAGGGCTGCAAAGCTGCAAGACTCAAAACCTATTGACGTCATAAGCTGTTACTTAAAGGATCGTGGGACTTAGTAACTAGGGTTATAAGTAAGGTAGCTATACTTATAACTACCTATAACCCCAATTAGGGTACCTATAACCTTACTTACTAAGTCCCCTGCTCCTCCAAGTAGTTTTGAAATCCCAGAAGCTAAAACCGCAACCCCCGAAACTCGAAAGACTCCGGCTTATCCTCTAGAATCCAGCTAGAACCTTACAAATCCCAACGACGAGTCACAATCCCTCCCAATGGTCGCAACCGCAATATGTGGTCTCTTCTGAAGCTCCTTAACCCTGCAAAGAACCACCTGCAAAATCCCTGCGACTGACGCCTGGACCCCACATAGCCTGCCTTTTTGGGGCTCCTTAACATGATTTCTTTGTCCTTCAAAAAGCAGGTTATTTGGGGTAAAGGTCCTCCCTGAGATTGGACTGTGAACCCGACCCCTTCAGGCAAAAAACTGGCCTTTCACAAATGGCACGACTCGTGCAAGACTTCGCGGAACCCTCTACGTCCGGAACAAAATAGAAGCCACAATGATATAACATAATAACCACCGCGAGCCTTAAGCCTTAAATCTGGTATACCGAAACCCTACTTGGAGGAGCAGGGGACTTCCCTCCAAGTAAACCCCTAACCCCAAACCTTAAATCCGGCTTATAACCCTTTACGACAAGTAGTACAGGGGCCTTTATGATTGGACTAGGGTCTTGGGGCCCATTATACTATGATTATGATTGTTATTAAAGTTATTATTATTATTCTATTATTATAAGGAACCCCAAAAGACTATTATTATAAGGAGCCCCCAAAAGAATTTAGGTAGTTATTGAGGCCCCTCTATTAGGTCGTTGTGGCTGCGAACCCGGGGAGCCGGCCATAGTAGCGAATTTCAGGGTCGTAGCCACCGAGCTCGAAGAAGTAGTCCTTGGCTTTAGAGTAATTAACCCTTATAGACCCCTTTAAAGGAACCCTTTAAGGGAACCCTAAAGTATAGGCAATTAGTAAGACCCCTAGGCTTTAAATGGGAGTTTCCGAAAACAAGGGACCCTAGTATAGCACCCTACATAGTAGGATCCTTATTATAAGGACCCAAAATTAGGTACCCCGAATTTAAGTAGTCCTTGGCTTTAAATACAGTAGAAGCCCGAAAGTTGGAACATGGGTTTAGGTGATTAGTGCTAGGATCCCTTATACATTACCTTAGGGGCACGAGGATAATGATGTTCCAACTTTCTGGCTTCTACATCAAATGACCAATACTATTTTGGATGTTCCTTACTAGTTTTTTCTAGTGTAATGGACCCCAACACGTTATCCTAATTCTACTTATTAAGTTTGGGACCGTCTGAAGGGACCTTTCAAGAGTTTCAGGCCGTAGGATGACAGGTAAGGGCCCTTAAAGGGAACCCTACTTGAAGGGTCATGGGACTAGCAACTAGGGGGGAAAATCAGGTAACTATACTTATAAGTACTTGTAACCCCAATTGGGGTACTTATAACCTTACTTACTAAGTCCCCCTGATCCTCCAAGTATTGTAGAAAGCCTATAGTGCCCTTAAAGCGAACCCTCTAAAGGTCTTGAAATCGACTGTTTCGGGCTTCAGGGATGAATATAGGAACGTGGTCAAGAAATTTTGGGCATTCATCAGGGTTCCTTACGTGAATCCTGCTAGTTTGGGGATATAGGACCAGGATGTCTTAATCAGGTTTACATTAGGAGATACGAGCTTCAGGGTTCGGAGTTCCGGGGTTTTCTATGGTTTCAGAGGGCTGCCTACAGTTTTCTTGGGCAAACTGAAGCGGTTTAGAGTTTGAAAGAGTGCTGCTATCAGCCCGGCTACCGAAACACCTCAACCCTATAATGCATGGACCTGAACGACTCATAGAACCCTAAACCCTAACACGAACTATACAGGGGTTGCTGTTATTTAAGGGTTTAGGGTAAGTTCCGAACCACTAATGCCCTTGAGCCTGATATAGGGGCCTGAAAAACTTAACGGGAGTAGGGCTCCTTGAAAGCATGCCCTTGAAGGCGGCCTTCAACACTAGAATCTCTACTGAGATACCAACGATCCCTCCGGAATAATAGGTATTTCTTCAAGCCCATAAACGTACATGATCTCAAAGCCAGCCTGAACCTCTTCGCACTAAATGGCACTGACTAAGCCCTCCCCACCGCTTCTTCATGAAGGACGAAATGCAGCAGCAAGGTTCCCCGTTGGGAGAGCGTTGTCTTGCAGGGGTCTATGCTTGCTTAAACGATCATGGGACTTAGTAACTGGGTTAATAATTAGGGTAATTATGCTCATAACCCCCAGCTCAGACTGCCACAAGCGCTCCCAAATCCGTCGGCACATCGCATCGTCTGTCGGTGTTACTTCCGAAGCAGACCAACTGACCGCTTGATTTCACTGCGCAAGTGTGAGAAATGCCTGCTGAGACTGCCACAACTGCTCCCAAATCCGTCGGGACATCGCATCGTCCAAGCGCGTTAAGCCCAAAGCAAACCAACTGACCATCTGATCTCACTGCACAAGTGTGCATTGCGCCTACTGAGACTGCCACAACAGTTCCCAAATCTGTCGGCACATTACATTGTCCAGCATTATTCTCTCCGAAGCAGACCAACTGACCATCTGATCTCACTGCACAAGTGTGCCAACCTCCTGCTGAGACTGCCACAACAGTTCCCAAATTTGTCGGCACATCGCAGAGTCCATGTTCGTTACTTCCAAAGCACACCAACTGACCATTTGATCTCACTGCACACGTGTGAAGGAAGCCTGCTGAGACTGCCACAACTGCTCCCAAATCCATCGGCACATCACATCGTCCGCAAGTGTTACTTCCAAAGCACACCAGCTGACCGCTTGATTTCACTGCGCAAGTGTGATACCTGCCTGCTGAGACTGCCACAACCGCTCCCAAATCCGTCGGCACATCGCATTGTCCGCAAGTGTTACTTCCAAAGCACACCAGCTGACCGCTTGATTTCACTGCGCAAGTGTGATACAAGCCTGCTGAGACTGCCACAACCGCTCCCAAATCCGTCGGCACATCGCATTGTCCGTGTTCGTTTTTTCCAAAGCAGACCAAGTGACTGCTAGACTTCACTGCACAAGTGTGATAGCCCCCTGCTGCGACTGGCACAACTGCATCCAAATGCGTCGGTAAACCCTGCTGCTTGTTGTTGCTCAGCCCAAAGCAAACCAACTGAGTATCTGGCCTTGCTGCACCACTCTGCCTGTTGCTGAAGGAAGCTCCAGATTTGTAGCCCTCCACAAGCGCTCGTATGCTGCAGGACAGCTTCCGGATATGCTGCTTGGACAGAACAAAAAGGTCCACGGCAATCCAGGATGTCGAAGACGGTATGGCGAGCCCAAGAGGGACTCTGCACATCGACATTGCCCGAATGAGAAATCTGCCCTGTCTTTTCCATGCAGTGTCATGATCCAAACACATACTTCATGATCCAAACACATCCTACGCAAATCACACCACGTACCTGTCCCCAAAGGCACGACGTCCCAAGTCTGACAGAAGGTGGTGCCCTATTGAGACTATATTGCCCCAACCCTCCTCAGCCTTGAGTCGGACCGAAACATGCTCATGGAAACATCTGGACTTAAAGGCGAAAATGGTGAAGAACCGGGGTTCTGTTTAGCGTGCTGGACCTCTCCACGTTGCTGCTGACTGCATGCAGAGCAGAAACACAGCCCAAAAGACGTTGCGCTTAGTTCAAAGATTCTCGACTTTAGGTTTTGATGGTTTCGGCTTTGAGCGATGACGCAGCGTTTACTTTTTGAGGTTTTGGGTTCAGGGTGTCGGCCCTGCACCTGCCACCTTAACAAAACAGCTACTGCGATGGGGAGTTTGAGGGTTCTGGGGCTAGGCTAGGGTTTCGGGCTGCACGGGCTGGACGGCTTGCACGGACGGCTGGCAGGCAATTTCGCATGTCCCGTGGCGGCACAGCTGTTGTCTCTCCGGGTTGTCTTCTTGGGCGCAAAGCACTCCAAACCCTATGCCCTAAGCCAAGAAGCCCTTAAACCCTCAAGGCGATGGCCCTAAAACAGACCACATTACATTACCCTATATTATATCGTATACTACAGGGCACAGGGCAGGAACATTGTAGGCCCCAGTAACGGTCTTGATGGAATGCGTACCATGCACAAGAGGTTTGGCCCCACCCGACATGTTGGTGCTGATGGGCACGAAGGAGTTTCCGGGTGGCTTCAAGAAGACGCTGGCTTTCCAGGTGCGCCATCAAGCAGAACAGAGGCTCGGGAGGTGACCATGTTGAACATTGGCATGCAGGATATGCTCGTATACTACACGGTAAAGGAGTTTGCTCCAGGAAGATGCGTTGCAGACGTGCGTCTTCAAGCAGGGGGCTCGTCAGCCAAGAATCGAACTGAAAGCTGGCAACATTGCAAGTCCCACGGAGAGGGGTTATGCACAGACGGCGAGGTGTTGGATGTGATCATCCTGACTCCGGCCCTTGACTTACTAGTAGCAGTTCCTGAGCAAGCGAACGATGCAAGAGCGATTCTTCTTTGAGTTTCATGCTGCTGTTAAGTGCGCATTGTCGCTGATTTTGTCGCAGTTGCCCTGATGCCCCGATTATCACCTCGACGAAGCTGCTTTTGACATCCTGGTATGTTAACTGACTGGCCTCACCCGATACCGATGAGGAAGACCTTGCACGTCTTAGGTCCGCTCCGAGTCATTCAATTTGGATTGTACTTCGTCTGGTGTGTTGATAGTCGATTACGGAATACAAAGCATGGTGGAAAGATGCTTATCCACCACCGTCTGATGCTTTCATGGCCAATTACGTATCCTTCTTGGTTTTGAAGGGGGATGTGCTCATGTGCTCCACAGAGATGGCTTTTGTGCACCGCGCTGCCAGTTGTCTCTTTGTGGTTCTTCCTCCGTTATGTGCGATCGCGCAGATTACTGCACCACACGCTACTACGCAGATCGTGAGCGCATACTGAGGACTTGCACATTCTTGAATACGTTTTTTGTTAGGCGTGTGTCTGAGCCAGACTCTATCGCTACCGAATGAATGAATACTAATGCTTTGTGTTGCTATACTGTACGATCCAAGAAGCCTACCACCTTACATTCCCCGAAAAGCTCGTAAAGGAACTACAGGTTACAGTTTTGGGATTATGTAGGGGTTATGTAGGGATTGGGGCTTAGGGCTTACGGGATTATGCAGGGATTACAGTACATCAAAAAGGTCAAAGGTTACCTACTCTACTACTAGGCCTTCGACAAGTCTCCCGGTTCATGGCAAATAGCCCGCCCGGCATCACAGGGGTTTGGATGGCCGACGCCTGAGATGGCAGCGCAAAAAACATGGAGGGATGTAGGCCTACTCTATGCCCTGGAGATCTATAATGCCTCATAGTTTGTTAACTTTCTACTGCTGTTTGAGCTCCTGTACCCAAACCCTTAACCTACATTCGTCTACTGTTGTTCCAGCCTTCTTGTCGACGTCCTTCTCGAGAAGATCTAGCTCTGGATCAGCTGCAGCGCCGATAAACCTAGGGCTCCCATGCACTATTATAGAGGCTTTAAAGGGAACTCCAGAAAGTTGGAATATGGTTTCAGGGTAGGATACCCTATAATTTACAATAAAGGGTTTAGGATAATAATATTCCAACTTTCTGGCTTTTACCTTAATAGCTGAACATGGTTTTGGGACTTTCGAGCAGTATAGCTGTATTGGGAGCTACGATAACCTTTCTATCTGGCAGTATTGGGGTGGGTTCAAGAAAAGGGCTCAATTCAAAGGTGTTGTGTAGTGAAGGTTTCGTAGAATTTCTGTTTATCAACGTTTGGTAAAGTAAAACCTAAGCCCTAAACCCATAATGCAGGATTTATATCATCAACCGTAGGGTCAAAGGAATGGCAACTATATTTTAGCACCTTTATAGACCCCTTTCGAGTAATGAACCCTTATAGACCCCTTTAAAGGAACCCTCTAAGGGAACCCTAAAGTATAAGCATGTAGTAAGACCCCTATAGTATGAATGAAAGCACTTTTTGGAAGGGCCTTTGCCCTAAACCCTAAACCCCAAACCGCTGCACCTAAGCTCTAAACCCTAAACCCTCAACCCGAAACCCTAAACCCTCAACCCTAAACCGCTTTTTGCTTTGACCAAGAGACGTCAAGCGCCAGTTGAAGATCCCCCGAATGGGCGGCCAGGGCAGACCACCTATTCAGGGATGGTTCAGGAGGGTTGAGGGTTCAGGGTTTGAAGGTTTTGGCTTTAAGGTTGAGGGAATACGATGATTTAGGATTCTTAGGATTGAAGGTTTAAGATGTGGAGGGTTTTTGGTTTAGGGATGACTTAGGATTTGTCAGGGTTTCGGATTGGAGGTTCAGGGTCTTAGGGCGTATGTAAGGTTTACAGTAGAAGCCAGAAAGTTGGAATATCATTATCGTAACCCCTTTAAGGTAAATTATAGGGGATCCTACCATTAATCCATATTCCAACTTTCTGAAGTTCCCTTTAAACCCTCAAGTAAGCCCTAAACCCTATACCCTTATAGAACGCCTTATAGATCCCTTTAAAGGAACCCAACTTTCTGAAGTTCCCTTTAGGGGCTCGAGAGCCCTTATTGGGCAGGACTCGGTTCTCGTTACTAAGGGTTTAGGATTTGCCGCATGGATTGAGGGTCTAGGGTTCCGGGATGATTTGAGACTTGGGGTTTAGGGTTTAGGTTTAGGGTTTAGGGTTTAGGGTCTAGGGTTCCGGGATGATTTGAGACTTGTGGTATGCTTACCTTTGGTTAGGACTACTATGAGGGATCTATAAGGGTACTCTAACATTAACACCTTGGCTGCAGACCTGAACCAGTGCCCATGGCTTTGGTCAGTATACTCATAGATCCCAACACCCCTTAATTAGGGAATCTATTGGAGTATATCATAAACTTTTAAACCCCAAACCCTATAGATCCCTTAGAGGAACCCTTACGGACCCTTTCAAAGGAACCCTAGGTCCCTAGGTATTCCTTAATTAATGGGTATTGGGATCTCTGGGTATATCGCAGAATGCCCCCGAAGTGGCACTATACTTGGAGGGTCGAGGGACTTAGTAAGTTGGTAGTAAGTAGACTTATAAGTACCCTAAAAGGGACCCTAATTGGGGTTATGGTACTTATAAGTCCTTAAAATAACCAGTTACTAAGTCCCCCGACCCTCCAAGTAGGCGACCTGCAGGCTCACGGATGCACCTCGAAAACCTCACGGCCCCCGAGGATACACATAAAGTTGAGTTTCGGGGTTTTAGGGGGTTTAAGGGGGGGTAAGGCTTAGGGGCTTTGGGAGTTTAGGGGTTAGGGGGTTTAAAGGGGTTTAGGCTTAGGGGCTTTTTGGGAGTTTGGGCGGGAGTTTAGGGGTTAGGGGTTCTAG